TTCGCTTACCTCTTATTTAATGGTAAACCCGAGCGAAGTTTCGATTAGTAACATATTCAAACACTTACTAACACAACATCCCGAAAGCTAAGCTAAGCCCTTTCAATGGACATGGCCAACGGGGAAAAACCGACTTAACCTAGGGTACTTATGTGGAGTACACCTTAACACTAAACAACCATTCATGACAAATAGATTTCATGCCAGTAAAGATTAGGAGTTTTAATGTGATAATCGTCGTGGTTGGGTTAAGCCCCCACCGTGCCAATACTATGTGTCGCGAGAAGGCCGTTTGCCTTCACCTTCCTAATCACGAAAACTCTAATAATCCATGGATATAAACCTGGCGCCAATCCTCTTCCTATCTCGTGCATCAAGGCGCAGAAGTGCCTGCACCAGAAGAACTACGTTCTCCTCACTCATGTTGTGGACAAGACCGAAGAAGAGGTAGACATACAAGGTATTCCAGTAGCATGTGATTTTTCCAAATGTGTTTCCCGAGGAACTTTCAGGAATATCCCAGAGAGACAGGTCGAATTTCGAATCAACCTCATATCGGGAACCACATCAATTGCCAATTCACCCTATAGGTTGACTCCCGCCAAAAATTCACAAGTTATCTTGTCAACTGAGTAGAATTGTTGCGCAAACGATTCATTAGGCCAAGCTTCTCATCCTAGAGAGCTCCGGTCTTGTTTCTCAAGAAGACAGATCCTTCCGAAGGTACATCGATTTTAGGAAATCGAATAATCTCCTTATTAAAAATCGATACCTACTTCCACGGACTGACGATCTATTTGGCCAGCTCCAAGGAGCTCGTTACTTCTTTAAAAATAGATCTAAGCATCGGTTATCATCAACTTCGAGTCCGAGAAGGCGACATTTCAAAAACTGCCTTCCGAACTCGTCGTGGCCATTTCAAATTCATTGTGATACCCTTCGGTATAACGAATGCTCCCACACTATTCATGGACCCTACAAACCAAGTTTTCCCAACCATTCCTAGTTAGCCTTTTCATTATTCTCATCAATAACATACTCGTCGGCCCACGAAGCAAGAACGAAACACTGTCAACATCTACGACCAGCCTTGAAAACATCAAAGTCGGAGAATATCGCGAAGAAGGCACTGCATGGATGGATAAAACTCTCGAAGTTGAAAGACGAAGCTTATAGGTACGCAAGTTAAATTGGGCGTTAACTGGGTGATTGTCGATAGGTTAACCCAAGCTGCCTATTTCCTGCTAATACTAAAATCAAACAAGACAGAAAGGTTTACATGCATCTATATCAAGGAGATCGTGAGACTCCATGAGATATCGGTATCTACTATCTCGAATCGAGATAACGGGATTACTTCAAGACTTTCACAGTCACTTTCGAGGGCTATGGGAACATAGCTATGTTGGATTAGTGTCTAAGTCCATAACTATTTTGGTATATACTTGACCCGATTATGAGCATGGTCCTTTTGGGTTGCCTTCACCATAGCAATATGCAGGATGATTTAAGGAGAGAAAGGTTTAAATATGATTTATTAATATATTATGAGAATAATATATTAAAGGGGAAATCATATTGTTTAATTAATATTAGTCAATAATTAATTAAGAATTAATTTTGTGACCAAAAGAGATTAATTAAATATAGGGGACTGGACTGCAATTATTGGATAATTGAGTTATTGGGCTAAGGAATGCTAAAGGAATAAGGGGTGAACGAAATTATGATGGAAGCCCATCATATTTTCGTCCATAGCCTTGTCCAGAAGGTTCCATGGGCTGCTTAGAGTTTAAGCTGTCCATTAGGGTTTTGACTGAAACCCTAGCAGCCCACACAAGTATATAAAGGACCCCTTAGCCCACACAACTAGCATTTTTGCTAGGAGATTCTACTCTCATGCAATCATTCACCTAGTGTGCTAACTTGTACTCTAAGTGAATACTATGCTCCATTCCTATTCAAATACATCTCATATGTTCAAATAAGGGTTGGAAACCCTAGATATCCCATTTCAAGTTACTATGGCCTAGGATTCTCTTATTGGGCCTAATGGACCAATAAACCTTCAAGTTGACTATCTTGGGCCTAGAAACCCTAATTGGGCTCTAAATAGACCACATTCATAAAACCTTAGCATTTTGGTCCATGTGGGCCTAAAATAATTCATCTTATCTCTAATGAACCTTATTGGGCCATAAAAGATTTCATTTGCCCCAATGGGCCGAATTTTTTTTTGTGCTTCATAATTTCGAGTAAGGACCAAGATAAGGCCCAAACTCCTCATTGATTACTCCATTTTGGCCCAATGAAGAAAGAAGGGAATTAATGAGCAATGGACACATCACATTTGCATGGTGGACTTCAATGCAAATTAACCATTAAGTAATATCCAAACCTCATACATCTAGGTAACCATCACATCCTCTCTCCCCCTCTCTTCTTATTTTCGGCCAACACATCTTCTCACCACCTCATTCTCTCAAAAATCTTTCAAGAAAACTCTCTCAACCATCAAGAACACCCTCCTTTCCTTCCATCCAAAATTTCGAAGATCTAGGGTGTTTTCAAGAGGATTCTTCACCAAAATCATCATCCTTGGTAAGTTTATGCTTAGATCCATGGTCTAGCCTCTTGATTTCTGCAAAAATATTCTCTTAACTCATGCATTTTCGTGGATCATGACTCTTAGATCCTTCTTGAATTCGAAAACTCCTCTCAAAAAGCAAGCTATGCCGAATTCTCCTTCCATCTTCTCACCAAAACCAAACCAAACCCCAAGGTGAGTTCATACCCCCTTGATTTCTGTTTTCACTTGTTTTTGGGGGGAGATTACAAGTCATATGTGTAGATCTATGTATTTATGCTTGACTATGTGTGTTTTCTTGAAACATTTGGTGATTATGTGTTGATTCCTTCACTAATCTAAAAAGATGTTAAGAAACTTGAAGTGTATCACTAGGATCTCCATATGAATCATGAGAAAAGTATGTTTTATCACATATAATGCATTTAAACTTTTAGATCTGGGATTTGTACACTTGAAATAGCAAAAATGAGTGTTGTATTCAAAGATCTATAAGCTAAACTCACAAAACAGCCCTTGACAGGAAAGATTTGGTCCAATCTCGGACTGTTTTGACCATCCAAATGGAAGTAGTTTTCAAAACTGTTTTACATGGATAAAGATCAGGTTTATACCTTTAAAATGACTACTCGCACGTTTTCATACGATTTTTCTACAATTTTTGGCGAATTTTACAAACCTGCCTATCATATTTGAAATAATTTCGGACCAACCTGTGAAGATGAACAATTTCACACTTGTTAGAAGCCATCAAAAATTATGAGAAAATTTTGGAACAAAATAGACAAAAATTCTAAACTTTGATAGTTTACGGATCCAATTTTCGACTTACGATGATTTTTCTACAAATTTTCAAACAACTAGGTCGAAAAAGTTCAAAAACCAGAAAATATGCGTTTTCACATAACTCAAGTAAAGAATGTTATTTTTGACAATAAGGGATTTCAAAATGTTGTTTTCACTACAAAATAGTTATCAAAACAAGTTTTGAACAAAATGGAGACCAAAGTGTTATTCTTATAAAAATTGGGCCTTAATCCTATATTTTTGACTTATTGGGCCAAGAGCATCATTTTACAAAAAGTGGGTTTTAGATTTCAATCATGTAAATAATCAATGCCAAAACAAACAAAACAATAACAAACACGAACCCGACACGATGAAATACTAGTACCTCGACTATCGGCGATATACAATACACCCTCAACACCAAAATCGTTATCAAACGAATTGGTTCGGTCTCGAACCAATAAAAATCCGAAATTACTAACACGACGACACTATGACATTACGACATTACGATAACGATTGGGAAGTCACTATACATGCGAGTGTGCACAGACATCTACGCACCATCTTTGGGCCCCAAAAGTGTAAAATCTTGTTTGTTGAGCCTAGCTAGCCCAATGACCTGATCTTAAGGCCCGAAGACCTCTCTCTTACGAAGTGTTGGGTTTTACCGATCCGACATAACGTAAAAGGACTTTCAATGGAAAACATGCTACTGGTCCCCAAGGGTCCTTCAGTGCTGCTAGTAAAGTCGGTAACTCACGATTGCGGGTTGGGCTTCGGGCCCTTCGCAATTGCAATGGTCTTGAACGATGCGGGGAAATACCTAGGGTTTCGCACCTTCTCTCCTTCCCTCTGGTCGTGGGACTACACAAGTCCGGGAGGATTGAGTTGTGTGAATAACTGCGAGTGACGCCTAAGGGATCACTTGTAAGGTTGTCGACTGGACGTTTTCATCAACGGACGTCACAACAATTCACCACCCACTGTATACTCAATGCCTCCGGAGCTCAACGAATACCTCTAACGCAACGAAATAACAGTACACAAACTAAGTAAAGCAAAGTGATAGGAAAACGTCGGGTTTTCCTAGGGTTTTCAACTAATACACTTACGAATTTCATGCCGAATTTTACAACTCGTACGCTTACATATATAGAAAACAAACAAGCATACTTACGGATCTTCACATTTTTTTTTACCATACTATTTTCAGAAAATATCGGATTTTCTGGTGGTTTTCGAAACGATACAAACATTGGATTTCAAACATTACTTATGAACTCACCAACATTTCATATGTTGACGTTTTTCAAAATACTTGTATTCTCAGGTAACAGATAAGTCGAAGGGATAAGTGTACTCAGTGACGTTTTGCTGCTTGTTAAATTAGTACCGAACAATCTACTTTTTGGGCATGTAATGTTAGGGAACAATGTACTAAATGTAAACGCTACCAGTTGTATTATTCCAATGCTTGGTGATGTATGATGTTATGTTTCATGTATATTCATTGTGATGGTATTCAATTGAGTCACAACAGCCCCCGGACGTTTCCGCCGTCTGGTTCGGGGGTGTGACACAGATATGCAATGCGATTCAATTACCTCCAAATAGCGATGAGATGCGATTAAGCCCAAACTCCCATACCGACGTAAGTAGGTGCATTGGCGAAGAGATTTGGAGCAACGTCGGTGGGCCGACAAGAGGAGGTGCTGAACTACAGGGTGATGGTAGTGCATATATTTCGTAAATATATATTTTTAAACCTAATAATAACATTTTTTCCCACATTGGATCCATATCCCTTAGTTCATTGGATCCTTGAAATAGCTGACCTACCTCGATCTGTCCTATGCTGGTTTTAAAGGTATCATTCCTCCTTACATTGGAAATCTTTCTAATTTAAAACTTCTTTATCTCAGTTCAGATAGATATGGGCTGATGGTAGATGATATGGCATGGACTTCTGGACTTTTTTTACTTGAGCATCTCGACTTGAGTTTAGTACATCTTAGTGGAGAAGAAAACATGGACATGTTGTTTTACATGCTTTATTCATTGAAAGAGTTAAGTTTGAAAGGTTGTGGACTCTCCAATGCTTATCTTGGTCCTTTTGTTAATTCGAGTAGAATACTTCCCAACATCAAACACCTTGATCTTGGTCACAATCATTTCCATGGTCCACTCCTCGGCTTTCTTTAATACATGTCATCTTCCCTAACATTCCTGGACTTTTCTGAATTTAATCTTAGTTTGTCATGTAACTTTGCAAACTTTCTAGGCATGATGCCTTCTTTATCAGTGCTACATTTATCAGATTGTAGGCTCGAAAAGACTCATCTATCTTCCCCTCGTCTTAATTTCACCACACATTCTAAGATCCAACACCTGGATCTAAGTGGAAATTTAATTCATGGCACATTTCCATCTGTCTTCACAAACATGAGTTCCCTGAGAGTCCTCGACCTCTCAGAAAACATGTTGAATTCATTGGTTCCTGTTATGCCCAACCTTCTAGATCTTGCTATTTCCTATAACTAGTTAACCGGTCCCATGTTCCTTCGGAATCTTCCTAAAATTGACCTTTCTTGGAATCAATTGAATGGTTTCTAGAATCTTTTGGAAATCCAGTAGCTCTAACATACTTAGATGTAAGCTTCAACCAATTAATGGGCCCCATCCCAACATATCTAGGTAGAATTGTTTCATTACAAACAGTTTCCATACGTTCAAATTTCTTGAATGATACTATTCCAGTTTCAACTGGGATACTTTACAAACTCCGGCATCTGGATATTTCTAACAATTCTTTAGAAGGAGTAGTTTCTGAAGCTCATTTTGCCAACTTTTCAATGTTGAAGTCCTGGATACTTCTTCTAACACCAAGTTGACTTTTAGTCTTTCACCTGGCTGGGTACCTCTATTCCAATTGGTATCTCTTGAGCTTAATTTTTGTAATATTTCAAATGTATTTCCACAGTGGCTTCGAAGTCAAAGGACACTTAGGAGGTTAGTGTTATCTAATGCTACAGTTTTGGGACATCTGCCCACATGGTTGTAGAAAATGCGGATCATTCCTAACTTAGATCTATCTCACAACAATCTCAGCGTACCTTTGAAAAACCTTCCTAATGGGGTGGCAACTTATGTTTGGTATATTTTGTGACATCCCCAAAGTCACGGCCAGAAAAAACCGATTTCACTTATGCTTTTTAAAATAATTTCAGAGTAAATCCTTTTAATTTTAAAAGAGATGCGAAATTTGTTCCCAAAAACAAAACATGATAAAATAGATATTTATCAAAACATTTCATAAAGAAATATGATTTCATTTCATAATCAAAAGTCGGGATGTCATGTTCCGATACAGATCGTAAAGCATAAACGATAGCATTACAAGTCATTCAACAAATATATACATATACAGACTTGTAAACAAAAAAAAACTTGATGATTCGTCCATTTTATGCCCTTGCGCCACTTCCTGTAATACAATTAAACTGAGTGGGTCAGGCTTGGGAGCCTGGTGAGCATGTAGGGTTTTCAACCCACAATAAATAATTATATTTAATTCAACAATCAACAATAAACCCGATTACCCATTCCCGTTATCCTCAGTTTACGTCCCTAAAAATAACATCTATTATAAGGAACCTAATTCAGGATTTTCATCGGGACGGACATTACTGCAGAGGGGCTTCCTCAACAATAAGTGTCCTAAAGGCAACCATGTGGGGGATAGAGTACAACAGTGAACACGTCGTTCACAACACCTACAGGTAATGAGCCTGCTAGTGTTCCACGGGACAGTCTAGAATAGTCCGTGGTCGTCATCCATACTCTGTTGAATGACTAGAATAACACCAATAACACCGAGGCCTCTCATCTGTTTATTACACACCAATTATCTACCCATGTTCTACCCAACATATTAGTAGATAAAAATATACATTTTTATACATTGTTTAAAAACCTGTATAGCATGCTTTAATCGACACATATTCCACATAACAGATGAGGCATACACACATAACACATATTTCATAGAGAATAAATCACATCTGTAAGATAGAAGAGAGTGAATATACACTCACACGTATAACAACAAAATATATACACATAACATGTATTTTATATAAAATACTTCATAATATTGCGTTGGAATGAAAATAACTACACACTCACATGATCAGAAGATGATCGGGCAGCACTACGGCTTGCAGACGAGGTGTTTCGCCGTATATCTAGAAGATCTTCACAAAAACCGGCTCCTCGCGGGCAGCGCTTCGGCTCGGGAATAACGCTCTTCGGGATCCTCGGGGCTTCGGATCTTACTTCGGGGCTCGGGAATATTACCGGGGCTTCAGGGTACAAATGGCACGCAAATCGAGGCAAAACTAGAGAGGAAAGAGTTTGAACAAGAGAAAATGGCTAATCTTGGTTTCTATTTATAAGATACGGGTCTGGGATTACGATGGGAGTAATCTCAATTTACGCTGGGTGTAAATTGGTTACGCTGGGCGTACTTTGATGTCACTGCATGCGTCGATCGGTGGCACTCGAGTATGCGTCGATCGCATGCGAGCTCCGTTTTCGACATTCTTTATATCCACGCGTAGGTCAGACCATACCCTACAACTTTCATTTAGACTCCGTCGGCTAATTTTGACTTTTATTTTTATTATTTATTTTTAGGAGGCCGGGACAGTAAAATTTCTTTATAAATTCATAACTTCTTCGTGCGACGTCCGTTCTCGCCTGACTTTTCATCGTTTCGCTACTAACAACGAGATCTTCAATTCTCATTTAGATTGTTTCGGCTAAAAACCGATCGATCTCAAATCGAGTATTCGGGCTGCATACTGCCACATCGAAACTTCGAAAAATCATAACTTCCTCATACGAAGTCCGATTTGGGCGTTGTTTTTATGCACGCTCTCGGTTTAACGAACTCTACGACTTTCATTTAGATTAATAAGGATAAATATTGCTCTAACGTAAATTTCACTTTTTATGTCGTTCAGCGTTGCCGGTTCTGTCGCGAAACTTCGACAGGTCATAACTTCTTCGTTATAACTCGGATTTCGGCATTCTTTATATATTCGGAAACCTCATTTCAACTACTACAACATTATCCAAAGATATCAAGTTTATTTTACACTTAAATTTTGACGCTCATTTTATTCTTAATTAATCATGTCACATAATTAAGCAATTAAGCACAAAACACATAATACTCAAATAATACATTCTTATTATTTCAAATTGGGGTTACAAAGGTTAACCTAGACTATTACATTGATAAAAATGGCAAGCCCAGAAACACGGGCGTTACATATTTCGTATCGATTTCCACTTTCATTATTTATGGAAAATAATTTTTTCAGTGAGTCGATTCCAAGTTCAATGTGCAGAAGGAAATATTTGTTATTTCTTGATCTTTCCAAAAATAGGTTAACCGGTAAATTCCCAAGTGTTTTGTGAATCTGCAAGAGTTGCATACTATGATACTTAGCTCAAATTGATTGTCTGGTATCATACCATGTTCATTAGCTCTTAATTCACTACATCAGTTAAAATTGAAGACAACTTTGTTGCTGAACTTCCTCAAGAATTGGGGAATTTATGATATTTAATTGTTTTAGACATGGGGGATAATACATTGTATAGGAATATAGACGAATGGGTTGGAGAGAACCTTACATATTTATAAGTTTTTAGGTTTCAAAAATATCACTTCACCGGAAGAATTCCACAATCACTATGCAAAGCTTCATAACTTCTAATTTTGGATGTTGCACACAACAACTTAAAGGGAACCATCCCTCCTTATCTTGGAGAATTGAATACCATGGCTAATGATCATAATTATAGGATCATTGTAGCGTAGATGCCTCTTTGGACAATGATGATAATGTGGATCAGGCCATGAAAGGTGTTGATGTTGGAATAGTGTCTAAGGCTGCAACTATATTAGACAAGTATTTGACCCGATTGTGCATGGTCCTTTTGGGTTGCCTTCACCATAGCAACTTGGTAGGATGATTTACTATGAGAGATTAGATATTATTAATATATCATGAGTATAATATAATGAATAATATTATTGTTATTTGATTAATATAAGTCATAGATTAATTAGTATTAATTTGGTGACTTAAAGAGATTAATTAAATATGAGGGTATAAACTGTCAATTGTTTGATAGTTACACTTTGGGCTGTAAATCCTTTTATGATAGAGGGTGGACGATTTCTAGGGCTAAGGATAGCCATAAAATCATCCATGGCTTATCTATGGAAAGGATTGGGATTCCTTAGAGTCTAAGTTATCCAATTAGGGTTTAAGGGTGAAACCCTAGGAGCCTTACAAGTATAAATAAACCCCTTGGGATAGGAAATCGGAACCTCCTCTACAGCAAGGATACCCTAGCCGATTTTCTCCTCTCTCCTCTCTCTCAAATCATTCTCTTTGCTAGTTGGTGTTTGTAAGCTATTAGAGGAGTGATAATTGTGACTCTAAAGCTCCAAGAACAAGAAGATCAAACAAGTGTTTCAAGGCATGCTTCTAACTCTGATTTTGTGTTGTTCTTATACCTAATTAGCTATTAGGAGTCTTGGATTCAATGCATGTTTAATTAGAGAAACCTAGATCCAAGCATTAGGGTTTGTATGCGCACATAGGAAAGTTCTTATGTACAAAACTCATCAGTGGTATCAGAGCCGAGATTGGTTTCTATTAAATTGATGCTTAATTGTTTGAATGGTAACTGCAAAATTCGAATTTTGTGTTTCTGAGTCATGGACTCGGCGAGTCCTATAGTGGACTCGCCGAGTTGGCCAGACTCGGCGAGTCCAGTTTGGGTACTCGGCGAGTCCGAGCGTCAGGAAGAGCCAAAACCGGGATTTTTTCATATTTATCTTATGGAAACTTACCTTAATCATATTAGATCAACCCTAATCCGAATTTATGATATATATGACTATACTTTTGATCTAATTGAAGATATTTATCAATTAATAAAATATTTAATTTCCTTATATGATAATTATTAATTATTTTGATTAAATTGGTAAATTGTTTTTCAAGAAATAAAATATGGATAATTATGTGATTAATTGTTGATTTGAATTATTTGTTATTTGATCATTTATGTTTTAAATGTTTAAAACTTGCCCTCAAGTTTTGAAATTTATGTTTTGTGATTAAAAGTTTAATTTAGACAATTTAAATTTCAAACCCTAGAATTTTACAAGTTTAAAATACAACCCTATACTAATATAATATTACAAGATTAATGTATATATATGTATAACTTAAATGCTAGTCTTACTGTTAGTAGGCCTCATTCACGAAGTCGGTCTATAAGGTGGGTATAAGGTTGCGGCCTATAAAATGGCGCTTAATGGGTGTACACTCACACCCACCGCTTGCTTCATGGAGGGTCGTTAGCCGAACGTGTAGGATAGGGCAACCTCATCCTCTCATTAAAAGTATAATAAGAAATACAAAGTAACAACATGTTTTCTTAAAATTTCCCAA